TTTTTAGACGTTTTTTAGGTGCGTTGGTAAAGTCTGCAAGCAAAATCGAATCCTGTGGACTGAAGGGCCAAAACTAGAGAGAGACAGAAAATGACTTTTATTAAAATCAGCTTAGAAGGATCTCACACAGGAGCAGGGATGAAAAAGCAAAAGTGGCTGACAGATGGTGTGACTCAAAACAATCGTCAGAGGGATTTAATGACACCCAGTAGGACGCGGCACGTTTACGGTTCTAGCGAATGCGGCTGGCATCTTATCCTAGTCAACCTGTTGTTGGCGTCTCTCTGCATCGAACACTGTTGCTTCATGGAGCAGTGTTTCTCTTATTTTCTTATTTTTTGTTGTTTTTACTGTCAAACCTCGAAGTCGAGATTATTATTTTATTAGAGCTGTGGAGCAGAGGTTTGTATGAGAAAACAGTAATGTATGTATCAGCCCATCACTCGCCCCTTAGTGAAAGTGTCTGATCACTTATTTTGCTTTGAGCTGATTGGCTTTCAGTTCATATTGGGATCTTCTTTTTTTTGCTATTTTCATCTGGTTTTCTGGCAGCTTACTCAGCTCAAGGCAGCGCACAACTGAGCGTCCTTCAAATGAGGTTTTCTGTAGAATCTAAAGGCTGAAACTCAGAGAATAAATCTCAGCAGAAGCAGGTCGTGCTGCAGTTTGTGTCTGGTTGTCTCTATCTGGAACGAACAACAACCTACCTATACACACACAACACACGCTCGCACAAAGAATAGGCTTGACTAATTAATAATGAATAAAGCCTCTGGCAAATTGAATTTTTAATTTTCTCGCCCACATTTTGTTTTGCCTTTTCCTTTAGTCATATCGTTTGTGATTTGTTTTATGGATGTTCAACTTTAATGTCCTCGCAATTAATAAAGTACTGGCAGTAAAATGAAAATACTTGTGACGCTGTCAGTTTAATATTATGTATCGCCAGCACCTGGTTTTGTGTCCCTCTCTTGCATCAGGTGCAGCCAGTACTGAGTTAAATGGTCCAGCATCAGAAAGCACTGCCAGCCTGTCTGCATTAGTGTCCGTGTTCACGGTGCATATCTAATTAGTTTCTACAGTACTGTTTTACTCTGAGCGGGAGGACTGACTTCAGCTTCAGGGGTCTGGCTGTGATTTATGGCGGTGTTTGAGTCGCATTTAGGAAATCACCGAGGCTGGCTCGGCCTCTATTCATCTTTACATCACGGTTTCACTGGTGTGACCCGGTGAAGCGAGAGCACTTAAA